CCCCTATTTTTCATGAGCTGAACTAAAAAATCTAAGACTTTTTCTATGTACACAAAATGCCTATTTCTCTCAAATATTGTTCACAAATCTATCTAAATCTGTGTTAGTGATCACTTCTCTTTTGCCGAGATAATCCATCCACCTCACAGGTGTGGCATATCAAGATGCTGATTAGACAGCATTATTATTGCACAGGTGTGCCTTAGGCTAGCCACAATAAAAGGCCAGTTTTACTGTATTAGGGTTCTGGGGAGTGCAAAAACAGTCGGTATCTGGTGTGAACATCATTTGCCTCATGCAGTGCAACACAATTCCTTTGCATATAGTTGATCAGGTTGTTGATTGTGGCCTGTGGAATGTTGGCCCACTCCTCTTCAATGGCTGTGCAAATTTGCTGGATATTGGCAGGACCTGGAACACACTGTCCAGAGCATCCCAAACACGCTCAATGGGTGACATGTCCGGTGAGTATGCTGGCCATGCAAGAACTGGGATGTTTTCAGCTTCCAGGAATTGTGTACAGATCCTTTCAACATGGGGCCATGCATTATCATGCTGCAACATGAAGTGATGGTCATGGAGGACTGGCACAACAATGGGCCTCAGGAACTCGTCACGGTGTCTCTCTGCATTCAAAATGCCATCAATAAAACGCACCTGTGTTCGTTGTCCATAACATACGCCTGGCCATACCATAACCCCACTGCCACCATGGGCCACTCGATCCACAACATTGACATCAGTAAACTGCTCACCCACACGACGCCATACACGCTGTCTGCCATCTGCCCTGTACAGTGAAAACCGGAATTCATCCGTGAAGAGAACACCTCTCCAAAGTGCATGAAGCCATCAAATGTGAGCATTTACCCACTCATGTTGGTTAAGACGAACAGCAGTCAGGTCGAGACCCTGATAAGGACAAAGAGCATGCAGATGAGCTTCCCTGAGATGTTTTTTTTTTTTTAATTCTTTATTTTGGTTGTGCATTTGTGAAAGTTTCTGTAAGTCACATCATCATGAACAAGCATCAATGCAACATGCTGAAGTAACGTTTGAGGAACATGCACATTTTTTATATTTTATGTTTAAACAAGCTTTAACCATTTAAGAGCATCTGAAGAAGGTTGCAATTTAGGGGAGTTTGTTAGATAAGGAGAGACTCCTAGGCATTAGGTTTTTAGTGTTTTCAGGTTAGTTCCCACTGGCCAAAACAAACGAGTACCCCTGATTATTAATGTTAGCAGGGCTTGTTAGGTTTACACGTTAATTACATAGGAGTTAACACTTGAGAGCCTGCTTAATTGTGCAATGTAGGTACGTTAAGATTGGCCTGTAGTCAGATTTAGTGATTATTCACAATACCACAATGTTCTGGGAGTGAGACCAGGTTTAGAGGCTCAGGTGATATTGTGAGCACAAGCGGTGGGCTAACAACAAGAAAGTGGGACACATGAAAGAGGGGTTAACTTTAGATGATTTAGCGGGTAATCAGTTACAGGCCTCTCAGGTTAAGTCTGCCTCTGTATACTGCGGGGAAATATACTGCATACAGTCATCACTAGATTGACATATACATTAAAACAACCAACAACAGTGGGTTGCTGATGAGGGTGTCACTGGTGGGTGGTCTACTGTCCCGCTTTACTGAAACTAACTGTAAGATTTGCATCCAACAAAAGTGTGACTCAAGTGAGACTTCACTCATCATCCTGTACCGTGACATGGATCATCTGATTCCCACGCTCGCCATTTGCGTCTCCCTGCATATTGACAGGTGAGTGTCAGTGAGGCTGGCTTTGCATATGATGTGTACTTACGGCTATGAGGCTAAAGCAGAGCAACAGATAGAGAACATATATGAAATCAGGGAACACTTTGTTCTTTCATCATGAGTTGAGTCTACAGCTGTCAGTGTTTAGACATGTCCATAGTGTAGGAAAGGCCTATAAGTGTCCCAGTGGAACCCAGAGTGTGTGTGTTGGGCTCCTGTAACCAGTTTAAGGTAGTCTTCTAGCCGATTCTGGATCTCAGCGCCTGGAGCCCAGTTGCGGGTATCAATAGTGTCCGCTTGTTCCGACCTGGGTGGTTACTGTGTGTTTGGAAGGTTAGCGGCTCTCCCCATCTTTGCTCAGATGCAGAGCTCCTGTTCGTGTGGTTGTCTGTGGGTGGGGGATGGTTCCCTCTGCAGTGCCATTTCTGTGCTCTCTGCGGTCGTGGGGTACTGTGACGATTTTCAGGCGCCTTAAAAGCCCTTGCCTTGATTCGGGGTATGTCCTGTTTGCATGTCGCCCGCTGTCGGAGGGATAGGAGTCTCCTGTTTCGCAGCCATCTCGGGGCCTTCTTCCATCTCGTAGCTGGTGTGGTTACACGTGGTCTGCGGTTGTGAGGCCGGTTGGATGTACTGCCAAATTCTCTGAAACGCCTTTGTAGACAGCTTATGGTAGAGAAATTAACATTCATTTCATGGGCAATAGCTCTGGTGGACATTCCTGCAGTCAGCATGCCAATTGCACGCTCCCTCAAAACTTGCGACATGCTGTGTAATAAAACTGCACATTTTAGAGTGGCTTTTATTGCAATAATCATGCTGTCTAATCAGGATCTTGATATGCCACACGTGTGAGGTGGATGGATTATTTCTGCAAAGGAGAAGTGCTCACTAACACAGGTTTATACAGATTTGTTCACAATATTTGAGAGAAATAGGCCTTTTGTGTACATAGAAAATGTCTTAGATCAGCTCATAAAAAATGGGGGCAAAAACACAAGTGTTGCGTTTATAATTTTGTTAGATGTGTGTATATATATATATATATATATATCTTGTTTACATTTTATATATATATGTATTATTATGTTATTATTTATATAGCGCCAACAAATTCCATAGCACTTTACAGTGGGTGGACGAACAAACATGTAGTTGTAGCCAGAAAAGTTGGACACACAGGAACAGAGGGGTTAAGGGCCCTGCTCAATGAGCTTAAATGCAAGAGGGAGTGGGGTAAAGTGACACAAAAGGTAAGGATAGTATTAGACTAAAGACAGTTGCAAGAGAGGAATCAGGAAGCCGATGTGGGGATTGACAGAAGGGAGAGGCGTGGGAGGTATGGGCAGGCAGGAAGATGAGCCTCGCCGACTAATTTATTATGGACTTTAATGGCGCAATTTGGGAGTACGTAAGACCACTGAGAAACAGATTACAGTAGTCAAGGTGAGAAAGGATAGTAGAATGGACCAGCACCTTAATGCATTTGGCGTAAAGTAGGGTCGGATGGGCGCAATGTTTTTGAGATGGAAGCGGCAGGATTTGGCGAGAGACTGAACATGAGGTGTGAAGTAGAGGTCGGAGTCAAAGAGAACACCTAGGCAGTGAGCCTGCGTGGTGGAGCTGATGGTAGTATCGTTGACTTGGAGGGAGACAGACGCAGGAGTAGCAACACTTGAGGGAGGAAAGACCAGAATTTCAGTTTTGGTCAAGTTGAGTTTAAGGAAGTGGGCAGCCATCCAGTTAGAAATAGAATAGAGAGGCAGTCAGAGACACTAGTCAAGAGAGAAGGGGAGAGATCAGGAGAGGACAAATAGATTTGCATGTCATCCGCATAGAAATTATGTGGAGTAAGAAGCCTCTGAATTGGTGCAAACGTGCACGCGGGCTCGTGCACATGCACACAGCTGTATGCATGCACACTGACTTGTGCACATGCGTGCACAGGTACGTGTACGTGCGGCGGCTCGTACATGTGCGCACACATGTCTGGACCAGAGGAACTGATGAGCGGGAAAGTAGACACGCTCAAGCAGAGCGGGCCTGCCCCTTCCGTTAGCTCAGGGGAGCTAATGAAAGTAGGAAGGAATCCTCCCTGGCAGTTTGATTTACAGCCAGGTGGGTGTTCCTTAGCAAATTTATAAAGGGGTTATTTTTTTAAATCAGCACTTTTATAAACTGGGCCTAAACTAGACTACTTGTTCGCCATAAAGCACTTCAGCAAGCTGAAGTGCTTTTGGGGTGTGGAGTGAACTTTTAAATGGCTAAGTAGCAAACAGATGATGCTAATCAAATGCCCTTGATTAATTGATCATCAGCAAGTGTGACCACCTCTACAAAAGCCAAAGTTTTAGTAGTTTTGCATTTTGGCTTTATTTTATAGGGATGTTTAGCCATCAGCTTCTTCCCATCAATCACCTCTAAATGTTATGCTACTTTTTTTTTTTTTTTTAAAGATGCTTCGTAGTAAACATATTTTACTACACTTAAACTTTATATAAATAAAAAAATATAAAAATAAACTAATTATTACTAACTGAATAACATACTTAGATGTACAACAGTTTAAATTCACTTGAATGTGATAATAGTCTTTCTTTACATTGCATGCTAATTTGGCATTAACATTGATTAGAAGAGTAGTTTGAATGAATAAGAGAACTGTATGTAAAGAAAATGTTATAAGTAAAACTGCGTGACTGAGTCTCTGTTTAAAACAATTAAATTAAACACATAAAATAAAACATTCTTTTGTTTGCATTTAATATAAATAGGAAAAAATTGTTCCCGCTAACCTTTTATCGAAATGTATACATACATAAAATTGTTTTTTATGTTCCACTGTGTACATCCAAATCAACAACTGAAATGCATTACACAATAATATAAACGCAAACAAAACTTTGAGTGCAGCACCAGATACGATAACACTAAATTCAACTTTACTTTTTTAGAGTACAGGAGAAAAACCCACAAACATGTTATGAATAGAATACAATAGTTTCTACATTGATCATTTTAATTGCACCTTTTAAAACTCCTTATTAATTGTTAATGTATAGTTCACAGTTAATGTTTTGTTGGTTATAGCTTGCTATACTATTTATGCATTATATATTATACTTTATAATTTGCTATCATGCATTTGTGACCTAATCACTAGTGATGTCGCGAACCGTTCGCGAACTTGCTGCGAACGGTTCGCCACGAACCATTCGTGGTGAACTCCGGTCAGCTGACACATCCCTGCCAATGTCCAGCAGACCCTCCCTCCCAGACCCTCCCACCTCCTGGACAGCATCCATGTTGAAGCTGCCTTCAACATGGATGCTGTCCAGGAAGTAGGAGGGTCTGGGAGGGAGGGTCTGCCGGAGATTGGCAGGGATGTGTCAGCTGACCAGAGTTCACCGCGAACGGTTTGTGGCGAACCGTGGCGAACCGTTCGCGGCAAGTTTGCGAACTGTTCGCGATATCACAGATGGTTGTTTGACGTTATGACTAGATGTTATACAGTTTTCTGTTATGTTATATGTTGCATTTCTGCTAGTTCCAGCTGATTACACTTATAAACTGGAGTATCACTTGGCGTCACCTACATCAACCATCTGCCAGCTTGGGTCTCCCTACCAGGGGCATACCTAGGTTAACTGGCACTCAGAGCAGAGATGTGCATTGGCAAACCCTTCTCTCAAATTGTAGATCTTTACTTGTCTCTCTGCAATGCTTTGTTAGGGAAATCAACCTCCCTGCATGTCCCATTGGGCTATGTATGCCATGTATATATAAAGGAAATTCCTCTAACAGCAGGCAGTTAGACTTCGTGTTAGAGTCATTATGTTAGGGTTAATGTTAGGGTGTTTAGGCTAGATTTAAAGGTAAGGTTTGAGTTACCGTTGGGCTTAGGGTCTGAGTTAGGGTCATGTTAAGGTTAGTGTTAGGTTATAGTAGTTAGGAATAGGGTTGGTTTAGAATTAGGATATTAGAGTTAGAATGTACCTGCCTTTAAGATGTGATGAATATCTATTATTAGCTAATTGCTGCCTGGAAGTTACAATTTAGATGATCTTTACAACCCCTAACTGTATTTATTCTCCATCTATATACGCCTGATCCTATTGTACTGCCACAAGACTACAAGCAGGTAGGTAATTTATTTAATTAATGCTACAAAAATGGCCATGCAGTATAGCTCAAAATACAATATATGTGATACTCAAATGGTACTTGGAAACTGATGGAAACTCTGACAGGAAAAGGCTAATTTTGGAATAGGCACTATTAGGTTATTTATAAAACTCTGTGTGATGTCGCGAACCACATCATCACGTCACTTCCGTTACTCAGGCTCGACCATTTTAGAGGTTGGAAAAACCTGATATTGATGGGCAAAGTTTACACCAGGTGTGCTTGAGCTGGAACACTTGAAATATTTGAACTGGCTAGGGGTTTGCTGAGTGTAACGTTCAATTTCATGTTAGATATATGGCAAAAGAATGGTCCACAAAGTTAATAGAAGAGATCATCCCCTTCACAAAAAAGGAACAGTATACAAAAAGATAGCGAAGGCACTGAGTGTTCCTAGAGACAACGTTGGAAGCATAGTTCACAAGTTCAAAGTTGAAGGAACAATGGTTACACTACCTGGACAGGGCAGAAAAAGGAAGCTATCAATGGTTATAACCAGATTTCTAAGAAGGCAGGTTGTAAAAAACCTTTGAGTGACTGCAAAAGACCTGCAGCAAGAGCTAGTGGCAACAGGCACTGAGATTTCAGTAATCACAGTAAGTATCATACTAAGTGCAGAAGTCCAGAATGCCAAAAGTCCAAGACGTACACCACTACTGACCAAAAAGCACAATATCATATAAATAAGACACAGAAGTTTGGGGATTCTGTTCTGTAAACCGATGAAACAAAACTGGAACTTTTTGGCCAAATGGATCAGTGATATGTGTGGAGGAAGAAACATACGCTGAAAAAAATATAAAAAAACCTACAGTTAATGTAGGTTAACATGGTTGTGGCTCGGTGGTGCTCTGGGGTTGCTTTGCATCTTCTGGCACTAGAAACCTGCAGCATGTGGAAGTAAAGATAGATTCATTAAAGTATCAGGAAATTCATGGAGAAAACATCATGCTGTCTGTCAGGAAGCTGATGCTTGGGCCTCTTCGAACCTTCCAAGAAGACAATGATCCCAAGCATACCTCAAATTCCACCAAGGTTTGGTTGCAGAAGAAGTCCTGGAAAATTCTAAAGTGGCCATAACAGTCACGAGCAAAGAACAACAGGCTAAGATTCCTCAGGAACACTGCCAGAAGGTGGCGTCTGACTACGCATCTCATTTGCAGCAAGTTCGAACAGCAAAAGAGTGCTCTACTAAGTACTAAAGATGCTTGCCACGAAGGGGTTGAATAATTTTGAGCCTAAAGAAGTCATTATTCATTGCAATTTCATTTGAATGTTTGGAAACCACTTGAAGCATTTGTTATGTTGAGCTATTTGAATTGTTTTTGTTTGGTTTGCTCATTACAGCTGAAAGTCTGTAATGAGCAAAACCCTGATTTTTAATGGGGTTTGGATAATTTTGATTCAACTGTATAAAAAAATAACAATTAATCTAGAGGAAGATCACAAATTACAAGCTATCAAACAAAGCAAAGCTACTTGAATTTTTGGACCAGCAGTGGCATAAAGTCACCCAATAGCAATGTGAAGGCTATATTTGGAAATCATGGTTATTCCACCATTTACTCTTTCTAAGTTAAAAGATTAGTATTGTGTTGTTTAATGCCACCCAGAAGTAGTGGGAGTTTGAGCACATGATTATTTTTATGTATTTGTAGTTACCTTTTGTATCATACAGCCATGTTACAGTGCTTCTGCAAAATACCTCTCTCTGTCTCATTAGAGATTTTCTTTTGCCTTAAAGGACCACTATAGTGCCCTGAGGGTGCCCCCACCCTCAGGGTCCCCCTCCCGCCGGGCTGGATGGCGAGGAAAGGGGTTAAACTCACTTTTCTTCCAGCGCCGGGCGGGGAGCTCTCCTCCTCCTCTCCACCTCCTCTCCTCCTCTTTGGCTGAATGCGCATGCGTGGCAGGAGCTGCGCGCGCATTCAGCCGGTCTCATAGGAAAGCATTTACAATGCTTTCCTATGGACGTTTGCATGTTCTCACTGTGATTTTCACAGTGAGAAGCACGCAAGCGCCTCTAGCGGCTGTTAATGAGACAGCCACTAGAGGATTTGGAGGCAGGATTAACCCATTTATAAACATAGCAGTTTCTCTGAAACTGCTATGTTTATAAAAAAAGGGGTTAATCCTAGAGGGACCTGGCACCCAGACCACTTCATTAAGCTGAAGTGGTCTGGGCGCATAGAGTGGTCCTTTAAGCTGAATCAAGTATAGTGAGTTACCTTGGTGTGGCAGGTGGGCTTACATCTAATGGCCATTGGAGTGGAACTAAAAACCTCCTTTTATATAAAAATGCAGAGGGATTTGGACTACTGTGCACGTAACTCTTTTTTTCTTTGTTTTTTTTTATTGAATGTATAGGGGCTAATGTATACTATGGTCATTGATGTCGCTTAGGAGTAGTGGGAGTTTGAGCGCAGGACTTATTTTTGTGTAAAGGCAACATATGTTTATATATATTTTAAGTTGTGTGTTATATTATTGATTAATCTAATAAAGCTGTGGCCTGTTTACTCCAATCTATGTTTAGGTTGCATCATTGGGGCTAAGCAGGGATCTAGCTAAAACCAGCATTAGCTCAGCTTGGTCTTTTAAATTTAAAATGTGATGATACATTTTTTTTTCCCTTTTATCTCAAGATGTTTTGTATGTGTATGTCTACTGCAGGCAGAAAAAGCCAGTATTTTACTAAATAGTTCAAGATAAAACAAGTGGGAAAAAAAGACCCTAAGATCATCAAACTTTAAAATCCATTCCTTTATGGTGTTGGTCCTAAAGAAGGCAAAGAAAAGCCCAATCGAAGCGATTTACAATTTGCTACAAAACCGGAAAAAAAACTTCACTTCTCCTTGGCCCAAAAACCTGTTCACATATGTTAATTATATACTTGAATATTCTGTTTTTGAAAAAAACAAAACAAAAATAAACAGGTTTTTTTTTTTTTTCAATTGTCTATAGAACCTGATAAGACTCTTTATCTATATTTAACCTCTTTATCTATATTGATCTAGTATACGGTATAGTGAAAACACCTGCTGTAAGCGAAAACACCTTTCTTTAGGGCACAAGACCAGTTGTCTCTATATTCCAGCTATAGGTTAGCAAATAGGGATTTATACTGACCCTGTATATAAACATACTCCCTAAAGCAGACAAATGTTTAACAAATTCCATACCACATAATAAAATGTTAAGTAGGTTTCATATCACTTGTTTCTTAATCCATTTTAATAAAAATTCAGGCCTCAGACGGTACCCACTTTCAATGTTCTGATATTGTTGATATAGATTAAACCTCCGATTGAAAGAATGCAACTGTTACTGACATTGTATAATGTAGACACGCAAGAAGTTGTTCTTTTTTTCAAAAGAGATAATTGTTGGGAATGCAAAGTCAAAAGTACTTTAAAGCCATCATTTCAGATAATTTGGCCTAATGTATTTGAATTCCCAATAATTTTCACTTTACTAAATAACCCTGAAAAGGTTTATAGCCCACAGGTACAATTCATTATGTAGAACCAGCACTCTATGGAAGTTATTTTAATCTGAGATTGTGTTTATTTTATTTTGCTAAAAAAAATAATATGAATGAATACCATGTTGGCTATATATAGAATTATAATATAAGCATTATTTTCTATACATGCAAATTGTTTATTACATTGACAGTTGTTCTTATGCTGAACAAAAAAACATAACGATTCTCTGTTTTTTATGAGATATATATATATTTATGATCTGGTCTGATTCCAGAAGCACTTTTATATAAAGTGATTCTCTCATACAGCACATATAAATTTATAGCTCAGGAGCTTAAATGCTGAGAGAGTCACCATCTAGATGTCAGCATAAAATAGAAGACAAATGGAACTCAAAACTGATTTATACGACAAATCAGCAGGACATTAAAGCTTACCGTTTGCAGTTTCCATAAGCCTGGAACCATTAAGACCATCCCTAAGGAAGGAAAGAAAGGATGATGTCAGATAAATTAAATTAATCTTTAAATTTATTGTGTGGATACAGGATAGAAATCAACTGGAAACGAATATAGAAGAAAGAAGTCATCATAAGTAATGAATATATTATGTTTGCAAGGTCTAGAAAGAACAATGGCACCATATAGCAATGGTATTGACATTTTGTCCAAATAAATTATAACAGCATCATCCCTTTACTTTAGAAATAACTAACAACAACCA